CCCCAAAACCCCAAAACCCCAAAACCCCATCAGTGAATTGAATGAGTTTATTATGAAGTTATTGAATTTTAAAATATAAATTTTAAACTTTAATAAACTAAAAATATGGTACTTGAAGCTGTAGTAGTTTGGTAAGTAAAGAGTTCAAGATAATAAAGTTATTTCGATTGATAACAAACATTGTTGACTAATTTATAATTTTAGCCTTGATAACTCAGAGTGGAGTAGAAACGGAGACTTTGCTCCATCCAGATGGGACAGTCAAATCGATGCTGCTAATATTATTTGCGAAGCCAAGACTTAACAGAATCCCGAAAACACTCTTGGCATTATGGCATATGCTGGCAGAAGGTAATCCTATCATTAAATTTAACTTAATTACTTAGAGTTGATATCAAGCTTACATAGACTAACGATATTGGTCTCTTGCTTAATGCTATAAACACAATTGAAATTAGTAAGTGGAAATTTGAATCTGATTTTTATTTTGAATGATTGTTGATTAAGAACTCAGAATTAACCAAAAATTTTTAGATGGGGAGGCAGACTTTTTCACCGCAGTTAAGGTCAGTCAACTTAGTTTGAAGCACAGACAGAACAAGACTTAGCGTCAAAGAATCATTCTCTTCGTGGGACAGTAAGTTGTTGCAAATGTGCTTAAAGAATAATAATAGTCCATTGAAAGAAGAGGAGGAGCAGTTTGAGGAATTAGGAATCAGAATGAAGAGAAACAATGTTGCACTAGACGTGATTAACTTTGCTCACCCTGAAAACGTGCCTAAGCTTCAAAGCTTAATCAGAGCTTGCAACAACAATGGAAATTCTCACTTCCTTGACGTTCCCCTAGGAGTTGCAATGATTACAGATGTCTTGATTGCTTCCCCAATAATCAATTAAGAAGATGAAAGCGTTCCAAATATGGGAGGAGTAGCAAATGCAGGTGCTGGAGCAGGCTTAGGTAATGCAGGCCCTTCAAGATTCTAAGAATATGGTGGTGTTGATCCAAACCTCGATCCAGATCTTGCCATGGCTCTCAGAATCTCCTTAGAGGAGGAAAGGGCAAGACAAGCTCAACCCTCAGCTGACGTGCCCGTTGTACAATAGGAGCAATAACCAGCAGGAGTTGACTAATAAATGGCTGATGTCTAGGAAGAAGAGGAATATGATGAGGAGGAAATTCTAGCTTAAGCCAAACTTCTATCAATGCAATAAGAGCAATAAAATGCTGAGAGTGGAGCCAACTAGCAATAGCAGTAGTAACAGCAGCAGACACAGTTCAGCGAGTTAATGAACAATGACTTCGTGGGCTAGTTAGTCGCTGATTTGAACTTAGACTTAAATCAAGATGATATCGATAACCTCATTAGTGAAATAAATGCACCAAAGAAAGACGAAGAGCAAAAGAAGAAGGAGGAAGAGGATAAGAAATGAAATGGAGGAAGCATATCAGACAGTCGTTGTATTAATTGTGGAAGTATAAATCTTCTGCGAGCATTATATTCATGCATGTAATTACATAAATGTATTCCTACATCAGTTCAATTTACTACAATGTGGGGTTTTGGGGTTTTGGGGTTTTGGGG